ATTTAAATAGACTAAATAAGTAAATGTAATAGCTACATATGTAAATGCGCAGATACAATGATTTCCTTTCGTAACCAATGACGTAGACCTCTCAATGATCGTAGACTTCGTTGCTATTATCACCGCACCTGCAGAATATGACAACTACAATGTTTTATGTTTCAAGTGCTACTGCCGGTCATACATGATCCTTAGGATGTCGAAACTCCAGGGCTGGTTGTTGCATTAACAGGGCTTTCTTTGTGTGCAATTGAGTGTTGTAGATATTAACGATGGCTCTTTTCTTATTCGGTGCATTAATACGAGAACACACCGACTCCAATCATTAATCTCCTTTAAAAAACAGAGGAAGGAAATTTCTCACAGATTGTAGCACTCGATGCTAGTGTTTATCAATTAGACCAATATTCAAAAAAGGTTTACTACTGCCCATATTCGAGTATAGTGTCTGTTCCCTGCTCTGTGAGACATCAATTAGCAAGTCTGCCGCTCTAGAATAAAAATTTTTATCGTTTGAACCAAATTTGGCGGTTATCCGTCAACTCGTGATGGTCATGAAAAACAACTCGACAAAGAACTGGCGCAAAAGATAGTCAAACCCAATAGGCCCTTCAAGTAAATTCCGCTGATCAGGCTTCAGTACTGGCATATGCGTACCATGACACCCGCTAGTCATTGATCGTAGAATCACATACGTCAACTGATACCCGTATAGAGTTGCTGATTCATCCTCTGATGTACTATGATGCCCAGGATAAAGCGGAGCCAGCCGGCTGCCTGTATTGTATAGTTGTCGAGGTGTTCTTGGTTGGATACACAGACAGTCTTGTTTTATCGTATCTTTTTTTGTTCGGGATATTCCAACTTGGATAAGTAGGCTAATGATGCATGTTGGTATTCAGTACCAACACGTGACGCCAATATTGTCACTACATAGACTTGAGAAAAGGACGCAAGTGGCATTCTCAAACTTCCTGTGCTAATCGGCAATTTTATGGGATAGGTGAAGCCGAGATAAGGCCTCTATAACAAATTCAGTTGTTCAGAGACTCATGTTCATTGTCTCTGTTTGAAACTATTAATGCTCTGGTGGCAATCCTCATACCGATAAACTTTTCTTGATCCTTCACGCCTGATATACCAATCGATGCCCAATACTAATGGGAGACAACACATTCAAGTGAAGTCTTACTTATTATTTTGCAATCCAATAGAGCAAGGAATAATATTTTCTGCCGATTGGTGATGAATGCAGCGATAAGCAAGTCAATGTGCTTTGTAAAAATTTGTTCAGAAGTCCATATATATATACAATGCAGACTCAGACAATTTAATCGATTCTCATGTAATACATCTAGAGCTAGAAATATTTCGGAACTCTGAAATACGTGAGAGCTTATTTAATAAAATGGTCTTCTGAATGATATTCTGATGGTTCTTCTGGAACGTGTTCGGACAGAAAATTATATCGTAGTCCGTGGATATCTATATGCGACTTCTATATGCAAAGGTATGCTTGACACGATAAGATATCCGTTTAAATTAAATTCGTATCGCAAGTATACATGATGTAGATAGTACACTGTTGTGCAAGTTAAATTATAGACTTGAAACCCCTTTTGTCACGTTCGTTGATATTACATCTAATCCGGTACAATGTTCTTTGCGATATAGCTTTTAACCCTTTTGCGTCAAGGAAAGATATACATATAGTATATTTTATATGCTCTGTTCGTAGTGATTCGAGAGATGATCGATATGTGCACATGGGCGGCTGTCAAAATCAGAAGCCTTTCACAGCTCTGTGTATTTTGTTAATATAAGTATTCAATACAAAATAGGGGAAACTTGGGTCACACCAATGGACAGATGGTAATCATGTGTTTGAGAAGGCCGAACAAATCTGATCAAGTATAGTAGAGTATTGCTTAGCAGTGAGGAAACAAACCTTCAATTAGTGCGCTGAAGTATCTCTACATGCGGTATTGGAACTTATAGAGGTATGCATGGACTGCAAATGAAATTGTGTTTGTATGTACCAGATATGACATTTCATCTTCTCCAAGAAAGAAACATGCAATACGTAGATTGATAAAAAACTCATCTTGATCAACGGTGATCATCAAAAATAGGTGTTTGTATATCGGGTCCAGTAGATCGATGCGACAAGAGACTTCGTTTCTACCTCGACACAAGGTATCAAAATCTTGCAGAATACAGCCTACGCTACTAGTTTTTACATGCTGAAAGTGAGAGCGTTGATTGATCAAATACCGATTCAAGCTTAGCACATACGAAATGTGATATAATATCAACACTTTGTGTAAGGCTAAATTTAATATGCATTTATATTTTTGTGAGGAACTCTGCCGTGGTTGACTATCGTTTATAACATTAACCTTCGAAACCCGGCGACTACCAGCTCTGGTGATCGAAGCCTGAACATTGAAAATACTTTGAATGGGTCACATTCCATAGCTTCGAAACCCTACTCGATTTGCACACAAATCTCGTATCGCCGGTTTGTAAGAAGAAATTTTCATTCATATTTCGGATGTATTTATTCCCAGGGCGAGTATTGCCACCAGAGAAGCATGTTAAACCCCTAAACCCTAAATTATCAGCCACCTCTCAAGGTCACCACAGAAGCATGGATGTAAAATAAAGCGGACTGGCAGTGCGCAATGGCATTCCCCGACTACGAACCAACAGTGACGTCTGTACATCGGTATCTAACACCTAGCTACCAGTATTCGTCGGTCCCGAGGGAGGTCTCGTCAGCTGCTTCAAAAAAAGTCGATTATAGAAACGAACGTGCCTATAGCAACCCTCGCTGGTCCCACATCAGCGACTTCCGCTGATTGAACATTTGTCTAGGCACTATCATAGATATTTGTGTACCTCTAAGACCATGTGCTGCCTTATGGTCCGTGTTCATAGCTCGCATACAGCGCGGTGTTCATAGCTCGCATACAGCGCGGTGTTCATAGCTCGCATACAGCGCGATGTGTATATCATATACAACACTGTGTCTAATACATTTCTCCGTCATTGTCAGACGGCTGGGTTTATACCTTTGTGGCACTCGTGGGCCCTCTTCGTTCAACAGTCACCCCCAATGACAGTCTTCAAACTGCCATCACCTACGCCAGAGCTCATCCCGAGTTCTCCAAACACTGTCCTGTATGCCAGGAGGAGAGACTCAAGAGCAACCCGGTAAAGTATGCGATCTCTGACTCGATTTTTTGGACCGGCCGAGCAGTTCTAGTCGACCTCCAAGGTCCCATATCCAAGGATCGCGATACCTTAAACATTATCTGCGATGGGACCCGATATGGTGTTCACTCCACTCTTCCTGATAAAGTGCATATTCCTAAGACTCTTCTGGCTCTCCTCGTCTAGATCCCTGCACATTACAGCCCTCGAACCATGTTTGAGCCAGCAGACGCGCGACATGTTCCTCGCTCGCGGGATGGCCCTTCGCAATTCCCCAGCCAACACGCTGCAACTTAACGGCAAAATCGAAAGCTCCATCCACACTAAGGTAACTACACTATTGTTGATCGACTCCCTTCAGCCTGTCGCTCTCTGGGCGGACACCATAGCTCATGCGGATACGATTCGTAATGAGAATTCAGATGCCAACGAACATATCCATTCTCTTCCGATAAGTGGCATGGTGCCACTGTCCCACGTTTCCCAGACGCACGCTACGGATGCGTGGTCATGTTCAAACTCTCGGGTACAACTGCCAACACTGCGCATAAGTATTGTTCCCTTGCTAGCTTTGGCGTTTTTCTCGGCCGTGAACCTCATTGTACCCCTGACACCTGAAAGATACAAAACTTTGCAACGCAATGTTAACTCTATTCCAGGGATGTCAAGTGCCTCCCTGATGAACTTCCCCAATGGAACGCTTCCGGAAAACGTTGCACGCGTTCCACAAATCCTTCGGGCTACGTCATCCCTACAGAGTGGTATAATTTTGATTCTTCCCTCACTGCGTCAGTGCCCCATGTTCCAACCATTCCTCCGGCTGTTGCCACACCTCCACCTATTCCCGTCGTCGATGCGTCCTCCTCTACGTCCCCACAAGGTGTAACAACTCCCGCATCTAAACCATTTTCCGCCTCGGCCTCTACTTCTCAGCCCCCTACTTCATATGTCTCCCAACTTCCAGCTCCTCCCACACAGTCGCCTGCTCCACGAGACATAGCTACTCCTCGATATCCGTCCCAACCTCATCTTACGACGACGCCCGGTTGTACATTCTCTCCCATCGGCATTTGCTACGACAGTGAACAACGATCACTTCCAGTATACGACGCCCCCTGGCCTCATCACCAACTTCCAGACGTATCTTGAAGATCGTCGTCGTCAACGTATGCAACCTACACTTGCTAATCAACCTTCACCTGAGTCACCCCCTCATGTTCCCGCGGATGCCATGTCATATACGGTATACGATGGTTTAAAATAATCCGGGCAGGGTAATTCCTCCGGTAGTCATTCCTCTGTCACTATACTTGATGACGATAATATCTAGCCGCATGACATTTCTCCACCTTCGTCACCGTCCTTCGATGATGATATCAACAACCCTTAAGATTTGAGCGACTACATCGCCGACTTCGATTTTCCAAACTCAGCTCCTCCTCATGTTCGCTTTGCATCCCCTGATGACCTCACTGTCATCACACCACTCGAACTCTTGTCCCTACTCGACACTTCCCTCCCCCGGAGTGTTAAACAGGCATAGAAATCATCTGCATGGCCACAGTGGCAGGCGGCCATTGTCAAGGGTTTAGAACGATCTCGCTGACGTGATTTCCATGACGTCTGTTCCGTCCAACACGCGCATCATATCAGGATATTCTCCGTACCTTCATGGCACGTGCGGCTCGCCTAGGACTCGATGTGTTCCACTTCGATGTGGACACTGCTTACCTCTACTCAAAGCTTGAATGTTACCGTGTACATGCATCCCCCGGCAGGTAGCGTTGAATCCGGTAGCTACCCACCTGGCCACGTTCTGAAACTCAAACAGGGCCTGTACGGCTTCCGTCAAGCCGGCCACCTCGGAACATAAATAGATATCGCCACTAAACTCTCTCACCTACGCTTCCAACGCACTGCTGCCGACGAATCTCTTTGGTACCATGATGGATTTAAAATTCTTCATATGATTTACGTTGATAAAATTGTGCCTGCAGCTGCCCATTTTTCCCGAATGAAGCTCTGGTTCTTTCGCGCCTTAAGCTTCCATTATTCAATGAAAAATAGAGTTTGGCTAGGCACATCGTCGGATTTCGGATCCGTCTATATTCTGAATCTATCACCCTCGTCCAAATCGCATATATCGAGCACATGCTCGCCAGCTTCAACAAGATTGACGCCCTCCCTAAATATACGCCGGGTATTGGTGTTCACCCCGCATCACTCGACGCCCCATCTTATAACGTGCTTTGCAGCCAATATGACGCGTGTTGACATTGCGGCCTGTTTGCATCAGCTCGCGACATTTTCGGCCGCTCCTAACGAACCACACTATAAGGCACTCACCTGCATACTCCAGTACCTCTCTGCTACTCGTCAATATGCTTTAGTTCACACTAATCAAACTGCTGACGAACCGCTCGTTGCCTACACCGGTAGTGACTAGTGGGGCTGCAATCCGATACGGTTCTCTGCTTTAATGGGACTCCAGTCTTCTGGAACTTTCAAACGCAGGAAACCACGGCCCTCAGCTCTACAGAGGTTGAATACGTCGCCTTATCTGAATCCGCACGCAGCATTGCCTTGTACGCAATATGCTGGTCGCCATGCGCATTCCTCGCAAGCACCCAGCTATCCTCTGGGATGCAATCCTCTATCAAATAGCTTTGGGTACAGGGACCCCCAGGGGGCTGAAACACATCGCGATCCGTTATCACTATGTCCGCGATTTTAGGGTTTGAATCTTTTCGCGACCAGCTTCTGAAAAACACGCGTGCTTAGTTTCCGGGGGAGGTTTTAAGCGTAACATGATGTCAACTTAGTTCCAACAAACCTAAACCGGGGGTTTCCCCTGTATACTTGTTTGTTCATAGCTACATCAGTATTTACCATAGTTACTGAACACTACAAGAACTTTGCACATATGTATACACTTTTAATTATAAATAGAAACGCAAACATAAATAGAAGCACAGTTGTTCTAAGTAAATTTCGAATAGACCTATTATATTCTCTGATACAATAATTTCCCAGGTCTAAACATGATGTTACTGGCCACGTATTCACCAACAATACAGACTAACGCTACAATATGTATCAGTGACGACTGAGTGTGTATTGCGATATATCTTAGACGGATCGCTAGCACTGACTTGAAATTTTCTTCAGTTTGTAAAACGCTTGCACGTGAAGTGTAAGAATACTTGTACAGCAGTCCCGAGTGTGTTCGGGTATTACCGTATGTGTTATAGACTACTTAGTTTTTTTATGGATTTATATCGTTCACATCAGCAACGTCCCCAAAGAACCAGATGGCTGCATCCTGATGAATATGAAATCATTTTCAAGTCCACTTTATCACACAGAAGAAATGGAGAACTATAGTGGTGCAAACAACTTCCTATATATCCAGAAGTTCAGTGTCAGTATCTTGAAACATGAATCGGACATGAACAAAAAAATATGCGAAGAAAAGTTTGGAATGGTGTGTAGGGCACTGTCGTGTAAATACCGTGGAATGAAAAGTATCAGCTATCGGATTGTTACCGTGTATGTTACAGACTCTTTTGATTTTTTTTAATGTATATATTTTGTTCGCAACGGTTACGTTTCCAACGTATCAGATGGGCTGTATCCTGGTGAATATGAAACCATTTCAAGTCCACTTTATCACACAGAACGAATGGATAACTACAGTGGTGCAAACAACTTATTAAATAACTATATTGAAATATGAATCGTATATGAACTAAAAAAATGCGATAAAAAAAGTTTGGAATGGTGTGCAAGGCACTGTCATGTAAAAACAGTGGAATGAAAATTATCAGCCACCGGGGTTTTACTGTATATGTTACAGACTTTTTTAATTTTTTTATGTATTTATTTTATTCGCAACGGATACATTTCCAACGTATCAGATGGACTGTATCCTGGTGAATATGAAACCATTTTCAAGTCCACTTTATCACATAGAATGAATGGATAACTACAGTGGTGCAAACAACTTATTAATAATCCAGAAGTTCAGAGTCAGTATATTGAAACATGAATCGGACATGAACAAAAACACGCGAAGAAAAGTTTGGAATGGTGTGCAGGGCACTGTCGTATAAATACCGTGGAATGAAAGTATCAGCCATCGGGGTGTTGCCGTATATGTTATAGACCATTTAGTTTTTATGGATATATACCGTTCACAACAGCAACGTCCCCAAATCATCAGGTGGGCTGTATCCAGGTAAATATTTTCAAGTCCACTTCATCACACAGAAGGAATAGAGAACTGTAGTAATACAAACAACTTCTCATATATTCAGAAGTTCAAAGTCAATATTTCGAAACCTGAATCGGATACGAACAAAAAAAAGTGAAGAAAGATTGAATGCAAGGCACTGTCGCGTAAATACAGCGGAACGAGATTATCAGCCACCGGTACAGTATAGAGATGCTCACGGTTTCCGTACCCAATAGTCTGCTGCATAGCTTGAAGTATGCTACTTGTTTGTTCTCTGTAATGGTTTTTTTTCCAAACACTTACTTGCAGCATCTATTCGAGCAAAAGAGACAGCGCTGCACCCAGACTATTTGCACGGTACATCAATCTACATACCAACATCCAATTGGCTATGTTCAACGACACACAGAGCCTTTATCTATGTATTTTATCTGTGTATCATTGGGGGCATATATAGAAACTTGACAGGTGCAAACAATTAAATTACGTGGACACGTGGCCAAAAGAAGAGGTAGGATAGTCCGTCGCCATTTATGCAATAGCAGAGCATTCGAAGTAATTTGCGGCCTATTAAAAAAATATGCATGTATCTCACAACATTGCATCTGCATATTGATGTCTCAGATATGAGTCTGATATGGTGAGATAAATACACTGGCAGCAACCACATTTCTCACAATATATGCATAATGAGGTATAAACTATAGCACAGCTGGCACGGTCACCGCTCTCTAGTATCTCTGTATACAGCATACTTGCGCGAGATGTCGGCGTATTCTCGCCTCAGTACCTCTGAGTGTGGCAGAGGTAGAAATATAACTCTATAGTTATACTGTGTGACTGCATTCAACACCGGTTAAGTAGCATACACAAAGGATACATACAGCTAAATAGGTTGCATACCAGATTGATTGACAGTAAGAATAGCGCTCGCAGAATATGACCACTTAATACTAATAGTGTACAGTAAAATGCTATTACCTACAAACCTATTACATCAACTACATAAAGAATTAATCAAGGTATTGCCGAGAACTCCACAGCATCAGGAGTCCTCACTTCTTCAAGAGCAACATTGAATTTTAGACACCTTTTAAATTTAAACAAAAGTCATTCTTGCTTAGATGTAGATATTTGTCTGAGCTTGCATCTGTTTCAAATTATCATCAAAGTATCCGGGTATGCGAAGGTAATAATTATCGATGACAGATATTATGCAGAAAGCATTTTGAAGTTTATGATAATGTTCCTATCATAAATGAATAGGCGACTTAGTTTGATTAAATCACGCTGCAGAACAAATACACAAAGGACCAAGTACGTGAGTGATGACACATGTATTGGCATATAATGAGCTTATCAATAAATAGTGCGCGTCATCAGGTTGGCATCGCGCCCTATGATAGAATGCGACATGTGAGTTAACAGACAAAATATGATTTAGATACGTAGAACTGGAAGATAGTGTGGCTTTCAAATATCGACACGCACCGCGCGAATAGCGTCATCACACGCTCACGAAACTCGTAGTTGTTTGAAATTAATAAAGGCGACGTGGGAATGAACACACCAAACATACTTTCGATATGTAAAAATAAGTATCGATGAGAGAAAACATATGATGAAGAAAGTAATTTTTAGTTTGCAGATTG